TTCATAAATTATTTTCATGATGTTTATTATACACTTTTTTTTTCCTCTCCAGTGGAACTTTCCGTTACTAATGATGGCATGGAAACTTGGTCCAGCACTGTCAATGGGTAATACTATCGTCATGAAACCAGCTGAACAGACTCCACTTTCTGCACTGTACGTTTGCTCACTGATCAAAGAGGTTAGTACATCAGAAAAAACTTGGCATTGTTTAATTTGCATATCTACCATTTGGCTTTTGAGTGTTGACTTTGTCACTTTTCACAAAATAAAACTTGCATCATTTTTTTTTTCAAAACCTGTAGCCTATGGGAAATTATTGTACTTTCCCGATCATATGCTCAGGGGCCTGAACATGTAAAATCGGGGAAAGTAAGGAGTGGGCTTATACTCCAGGACAACCTCAGATGATTATTTTTGTGGTTTACCATTGTAACCATCTTACCACTCGCAAAAAAATATCCAAATTACATCTTTCATTCACCACACTGGACTCCGGGATATTACGTCTTTTTGAAGAAGAAAAAAAACGAAATGAGTCGTCATTGATTTTCACAACACTTTTACAATGAAGAAACAAACTGTTCATAAACATACACACATTTTATTACAATACGATTTACATACCGTCCGAATTTATGGTGTAGAAATGGGTAGGTTTATTATCTTCGTTGTGGGATTTTTGCGATCATACGGAAACTCTTGATGCAAAGCAATTTTCGCCATGATGTTTCTCAGCACTATTTGACCTGAAACATAGTTCTTTGAACAGGTAAAGTCATACATTAACCAATGAAAATGCTGTGTCATAGTGACAAAGTTTTTCCATTATTGATGATGTAATTTTTTTAACACAATGCGGAAGTGAATTTCTGCGATGTAAAAATGACGGAGATTTTTCTTCTAAAAACTGGTGATTGCAATTTTCGGAGATATTTAAGACCTTTCACAGTCGACAACAAGTTCGCGTTTGCTCAATAGTTTTCGCTTTTATACCCCATTCACAATGGTCTCAATGGACATGGAAAGGTAAAAGGATGTCCAATGACCAGGTTTCACGAACCAAACTGCCGATGTGTAGTGAATCACTTTTTACATGCATATTTTAATGAATGTTGTTGATACCTGGTAAAAAGCAGCTTGAGGATGCCCTCAACTCGTTAAATCTCTAAAAATAGTGGGCTGGGCTTATACTCGGGGGGGGGGGGGCTTATGAATCAGTAAAATGATGTATCCATTTGGTTCAAAATTAACAAAATAATTATAGAAAAATACATAAAAATTATTGCATAAACATTTTGGTAGGAAAATATATCGCACCCAAAGGATTGTTTGAGCATATTGTACTTACAAATTAGATATTTGAATTTTACAATAGTGTGGTATCTCTCTGGTGTCATTTTTCAGTCGAACAATTGTCAAAATTTAAAATAATTGAGCTGATACAAGCATCAGTATAGGGACCCCAATATTTTCAAAAAGTCTAGTATAGGGATGGGTGTAATAATTCAAAAAATGATGTGCATCAGAAGTGACTCAGGAGGGGGGGGGGGGTTAGCTATTTGAGACCCACCTTAGGCCGTTTCAAAGTTTTGGTTAAATTGTTGGGTTTTTTTTGCAAATATTCACATCTGCTTACAGCACAATTCCGGCCAATGTGCAAAATCAAATATTTTGGTTCCCATAATCCTCATATCCCACTCCATTTTACAAATAATATTACAATTTAATTGATAGCATCTTTCTTTTTTTTTTAAATGATCACATAGTAATTCTTGCATCAACAATATGTTCATCTTTAATATTCTGTTTGGCCAGGCTGGATTCCCTGCTGGTGTCGTAAATGTTATACCAGGTTATGGTCCAACAGCTGGTGCCGCCATTTCTGAACATATGGATGTTGATAAAGTAGCCTTCACTGGATCCACTGAGGTATGTTGTCACTTTCACTACTATGCATTATTTGCATTAGTCGTACATTTTATTGAAAATTTGTACTTAATATCCTGATGATATATAAATTTTCTGACATATTTTTTTCTTTTTGCAGTGTAAATCACATTTTTGTAAAATTTTGGTTTTGTTTTAGGTTGGACATATCATCCAGGTTGCTGCTGGCAAAAGTAATTTAAAGAAAGTGACACTGGAGTTGGGTGGAAAGAGTCCAAACATTGTCTTCAATGATGCGAACAGTAAGCCATTATATTTAATATATAATATGATTACAATAAATTAATATGCATCATTCATAATGATCACAGTTTGCATACTTTGCAGTAATATATTTTATATATCATCAGGTTTTTTTCTAGAAAAAAACTGCATAAGGGAGCACTGCAATTCAGTGGCGCCACTAAGTGGGGGAGATAGGGTTCTCCCTACCAGGGTGTGGAGTTTTTGATAATTCTAAATTAAAATAGTGCATTCTATGGCTTTCTTGGGGCCAAAATTACTATCAGACAGGTCACAGTTGAAGACTGTGGCCACATGTGATCCCTGGTCAATCAGAATTTTATGATTGACAGAGAATTTTCCACCCAGGGTAAGGGGGCACATGGCCATGGCATGAGGACGCTGGGCCCCTGTTCCCTTGCACCAGGCTTTAAAAACAATAAAATACATGACCTGTATATAATTATATAATTGACCATTTTCCATTCATTGGGAAATCCAGCGTTATGCGTGAAACCAAATGAAAAACAGGACAACAAAGGTCATAGCGTGGTGGTGGCATCAAACATCATGTGGGATTCGACAAATGCAAAAGTATTTTGGGGACATTTCCATGCTTAATAATGTGCTGTACACATTTGATGATAGGCAATTTCGATGAAGTAAGAGTATTCAATCACAATATTCCCCTGTCAAAGATCGGCCTTTCGTTGTGAGCTACGAAATAAAGAAATTCAAGTTTAAAATCAAATTGTTCAATTTTTGCGGCCAACGTTCACGTCGCGCATTTCACACAATATGCAAGATCCGGAGGTGAATGGATAATCACTAATTGCCATATTTGCATTCATTCAAAATACATTTGCACTCATTCCAGAGTTTTTAGGGCTAAACTTTCCAACATTGAACACATACAAATTGCATGTATTTACATCAAATTAGAACACATGCCAAGAATAGGAAATAATGCAAGTGACTTGTAAAATGTTTTTGTTCTCATTCACTTATTTTTAGTTATGTTGAAAAAAGATGTTTAAATACTTGTGATTTTGATCATTTCATTTATATAAATTAACATAAAGAGATGACTTAGTCTTACAAAAATATTGTTTTAGACACAATTGCATGGACAAAGTGATCCCCTACACAAGGCTAATGTTGCATGAAATGCGATGTGAAAACTAAGGATTGAGTAGTTGCCTTTTCCTTGAAATCATTAACATGATGGGAACCATAAAAATATGATGCTATTATGGAAAATAACACAAAATCTTCACTGAGAGGCTGTCAGAGACAGGGTTAGCCCTTGTGATTGTGACATTTTTGACATTTCACCCAGACCCGGGCACAACCGAACGGCCATCTTTTTCACTTGCAAGTGATTTAATGTACAAACTCGATATATAGCATTATGCTTTTAGTGTCTACATTTCAGTGATGGCCATTACACATTGACATTAATGACACATGAAATTTTTTGTCCGAAGTCCGAAAACGGGGACTATTAATTTGTGTCCCATCCGTCTGTCTGTCTGTCCGGAGCCATTTCTCGGACACCCTTTGACCGATCTCGTTGAAACTTGAATGATGTATGATGACCTACATATGCATGCCATGAACTGTTTCTCGGAGCTGAACAGGGTGATTTCAATCAAACTTTGTATGGTGATCATGCATGTTGGGTTATAGGTACACGTCACTTTTTCTAGATTCAGTTCAAGATGGCCGAAATATCAACGTAA